TAGCGGAAAAGTTAGTGATTCACCTACCCGGTTATAGCACCAGATGTTCGCATTTCATCGTTGGGACCAGCATAGACAAGTCAAGAAACGTAAGCCGTGTAATCCATGATTACAGATATGGCTGTGTCCTATTGTCTAACTCTACAATCTTGGTATACCTAAATTCTCTACCTTCACGTTTACATTGATTCAAACATTCTTATTTTTCTTCGTCTTTCATCTAAATGGTTAACCGAAAGACAGCTTCCGAGAGGCCGAACGACAGGGCTCGGTTATTGGTTGTATGAACTGGACTGGAAACTGTCCCGTGCATTTTTCATCGATCCAGCTGCAGTCGCTAATGGCGCATGTATAGGATGAACAAGCTGTTAGTCATCACGAGTTACCAAGCCGACTGCCAAGAGGCTTGCGAAATCGATAACGTGATCGGTGACCGATTAGATGATCAGAAGGCAACCGGGGTTTTCTGTTGCGAAACACATTATTAAAAAAGAAACACAGGATTAACCCCTCGTATTTCAAGAAACCGTTACGTAGGCGCAATCCGACACTTAGGTTAATTGGTGGACTGTTACACAACCGACTACAAGGCTGTTACCACAATCAATTCATTAGCCGTCAGGTTGAACTTTCACTTCTATTTGAATGTACACGTTTGTTCATTATGAATGTCCCACCCAATGTGTTACATACCCCAAAAAAGTACTACACCCCTCGAGAATTTCGGATTATCTCCGCCCCAACAGGTACGATAATCACCATTTTTGCGAATCTAGACAGCAACCAAATGAACAGCCGAAATACGAAATTCCAACAAATCTATTTTGATGAAGATATACAAAAAAAAACAGAACTTTCAGAGCGACAAAGGTATTGCCCACTCCCACACACATCCCCTATGGATTCTGCGAATTGAAGTCAGTTTGGTACCGGGTGTATTAGTCATTCAGCCTCAAGACTGCTCGGTAAACTCCGTAAAAGATTTCGAATCATATCCGTGTTTTTATTATTCCACTCCCTAACTATATATGCTACTGATTTGTGTTTTCTGGTGTAAACTCTGGAGTGTTATTATATCTTTCGGGTTAGAATGTCCCAAATATTTTATATTGGGTTCAAATCTAGGCTGCACGCAGGCCACATCAGTGTTCGAATGCCACGAAGTAGTAACCAGTATTTTCTTAGATGCGAGTTGTATAAACTGTGACGTTATCCTGCTGCATAGTCAGACGGTAAAAAGTAAGTCCAGATGCACTGTGACTCGATATTTGAAGCGAAAACAGCTAAGAATCAGTCATAAACGGATTGGACACCAGAAGACGCTTTCCGGGAAAGGTAAACGTTTGGCATCAAACTCCACGAGTCATGCATCGGAGATAAAAAGGTTCTTGGGTTGGACGTTTCGGTGCGAAGGAAATAAAGAATGCTTCAAATGGTCCGTTTATTGCAGTTCAAGAAAAGCAGAACAACTTTCCAACCACAAAAATCGTGTATTGTGGGCTGAAACTCATGAAACTTGGGAAACACTAGGAATTTCGCTTATCTAAGCGACGAAAAGTTTTTAATTTAGTTGAACCCGATCTATATGGCAAAATCTTGTACAGAATATCCCTTGAAGTTCTGAGGCTGAATGGATAGTGCACCCGGAACCAAAATGACTTTAATTTGAAGAATCCACAGGGGGAGGAGCAATACTTCGGTCGCTCTGAAAATTCTGATTTTTTGATAGATCTCCATCAAAATAGATAATTTGATGAACTTCCGCATTTCGACTATTCATTTGTTGCTGTCTAGATTCTGAAAAATGGTGATTGTCGTGCATGTGGGAGCTAAGACAATCCAAAAATCTAGATGGATGCAACACATTTGTCACAGGATGTATATGCCAGTTAAGTCAGAAATTGAGGACATTAAACGAAATATTAATATCTCGCGACATTTGTCTTCATTCGGCAATGACGCAATTGATAATTGGGACCAGATTTTTGAGATCGTTGTTTTGCTCGCGAGCATTTTCATAATTTTTCCCGTAATATTTCTTCTTTCTTTCTTTCGGAATTCTATCTCCGACGTAGTTAACGAAATTATTTAACGCGAAAACAACCAGTTGGGAAGAAATAAAGAAGAGTTTTGCGTGGGCCTACATTAGGGGATACTGTTGTCCGTTATTAAGACAAGTTCAAAGTTTTATTTTGATTATCTGTTTACCGAACCCGCTTAGAAAAATAGTGCGTGTATCTTAGACGAGTCAAACGTTGGTACAGTGTCATAATCGCTTGAGCATTTTCCATTCAGAATTTCCCACATGGCGCACCGCTCCACAACTGATTCTCTACAAACACCTAGGCTGCATCGGATTCGGAACCTATCCTCCTCCTGTGCCGGCTCAAAAATCACACGGCCGATCGGGTTCATTTATCGATCGGTTGAACGGTTCAGTTGCAACAAGGGACCTGCCGCTTGCCCAACCAACCCGAGAGAGAAACTTCACCTTGTTTCCAGTCGTGATTCTTAGGTAGGCCCAGTGAACTTTGACTGTACCGCATACGGATGGACTGGACGTAACAACAAGAGCATTACAAAACGTACAAGCCGGTAATCCGACAGTCTCGTGTTGGCGCCGCAGATCGCGGAATATGATCCAATCAGACTACAGAAAGGGTCAAAGGGAATTTACTTGTTTAAGGTCACGGGTGAGAGGGACGAGACGATGGTAAACGATGGAGCAATCGCAGTGTATGTGCACAAGCGCTAATAGGCGCTTCGGTTCGCTAAACTTTTAGGATGACCCCAAGATTCAAGTAAAGTAGGCAACTACTTACAACATTTACAACATAACTCTGACGATTAACGTGGGAAGCAGCTTGCTTACCAAACCATATCACGGCATAGGTACGGCTCTTTCCCAGTACAGCATTCACCTGACGTTTGTATTTTACGAGTTACTTTTCTTGTCAATGATGCTAGTTTTCATGTGCGTTTTCACGCGGTAAAAGTCATCCGTATTTAACGCAATCGGTTAAGGGTTGACAGGTATATGGTGAATCCCACCACACTGTTAACAATCTGTTCGAATTGTGAAATGACTCACACAAATGCGCAGAACCCGACGCAGATTGACGAGGTGATCACATGCGATGGGGAGATGATTGTAGCTTCGTACAATTGCCACTCGACCAAATGGAAAGCTGAAAAATTGGATAACCACAATGAATACAGTCGAAAAGGTATTCGCTTAAGAATGACGGACAGAAGTTGAAAGCAGTGCAACATCAACGAGCACGAGCGATGCGTGTTCAAGTTCTCAAGAATCAAAACGCAAATCAGGCGGACGATCCAAATGAATAGTGAGATAAACGGGTGCAGCTCGTGGATCTACATAAGAACCTGGCGCATTTACAAATTCTACTTAAAATATTGACTGTATCAAAAGGAAGTTGCGCAAATATACATGACTAAACATTCCTCGTGACATCTAACCAGTTCGGATCGGTTGAGTGCTCTTATTGTACGCCATATTTTTTTTTAATTTCACCAAGTCATTTATAAATTATTTATACT